TTAGTATTGAGTTTCGTTGATTGATAATAAAAAAAAACAACTCGTTAAATAATGTAGGTTGTATTATTATCAAATGTAAGTAGTCGATAAGGAAGGTAACTATAGGTAATATGTTATCGACAGTAATTTTGTGATAACGTAGAAATGCCTTAATAACGATAAAATTCTTAGAAATCTGCTTTATCATATGTAGATATATACTTACCGACAAGAATTAGCATTTTTCTTTGTAATTACAACACCACATTAGGTTATTTGTAGTCCAACTATAAGAAAAGGGATGTGTATCTTCACGAATATAGTGAAAGACCAAGGACGAGAGCAGGATGAATATTTTCATAGTTCGTCGAGGAGGTTGGTTGTTGGGGGTAGAAATACAGAAATATAAATTCTCTAAAATAAGAATATCGGCAGTAGGTAATGTTACAGGGGGTTTTTGTGTTTTATTATTCCAGGGTAGGTGGTCACGAAAGTGGGTGGCATAGAGGTATCTTTTGAAGATTTTCACCCTGTCCAAAAAGAAAAAGAAACAAAAAAAAGATGTTTTTCAACGTCCCGGAAAGTGCAAACTCGAGAAGAGAAAAGTTTAAAGTTGAAAAAGCTCGTAGCCTGTGGTTTTCACCGCAAAACCGCAATGTAGTAAATTCAAGGAGCCGACTATGAGAGAGAAAGAGAGAGAGAGAGAGAGAGAGTGAAAAAATATTGCAGAATTAAATCGCTTCGTTGTAAAAACTTCTTCCTCCTAGCGACGACTTTTTCAATTATTTTTTGTATCTTTTTTGTCTCTTTTTTTTTATTTTTTTTTATTTATCCTCTTTTATATACTTTCATGGGTATTATTTATCGAGCGGTGTTTCCTCCTCTACTCCTTTGTTATACGCACGATGAAATTTTTCATGCTTTTTGAGATTCTCATTTGACAAACCCAATTGAAGTATTTTCGACTTGCGTAATGTAGAATGATAAAAAAAAAGAAATTCAATAAAAAAGGAAGAGAAACGGGATTGACAAAATTCCTGTTAAAAAATTTGATGTTACCTTTGTGTATTACCTATAATAATCTACGACTACGAACTAACTATTTTTACTAATGGTCTCGTTTATTAATCAACGTTACACCACACACTCTCCTCGTGTATTATTGCGTTCGTTTGACGTCATCTTGCGTCGAATTATTAGCACGAATAATCCGACGTGGAGAAAGACGATTTCTACCACATGGGAAATCAGTTGTCCGCCGATATATAGTTTCGATTGGAACTTATAGGGGACTGCTGCTTCCTTTTTTTTTTATCTATCCGTCTATCCGTCTCTGTCTATTTCACTCTTTGAGAAGATTATAGCCGATTCGGCTGTCCTAGTTTTACTTTTTATATCTCCCCTTCGTTTTATTCATCTTCCTCTCTTTCTCTCTTTCTTTCTCACACATACACACACACATATACTCCCTTTTTTTCGTTTCCTTCTCATTCATCGGCCTTCCGACAAATGCAGAGTATAACTTCGATATTTCAGTTTGAGGAAGGAGGGTAGTTAAATTGTATTTATGTTAGGACTGGAGTCGCTTAAATTAGGGAGACTAATTCCGGCGAATTAGTATTTGCTGAGAGGGTAGAATGAAATTATGTATTAGTCTCTTCTTAGCTTTTCCTAATTCACGTTTAATGTTTCCGCATAAATAATAAGCTCATTTTTCTAATGAAATTGTTTTTTCTTTCTTAAATATTCTATCATTTCAAGCGTTAACTTTTATTAATGTTAAAGTTTGATCATCAAAGTTTCCGTTGTGCGATAACTTTATAGAAAATAAATTATTTGAAAATATTTGTTACAAACGGTATGAATCTCCAGTTCAATGTTTTGTAGAATTGAAAATATTTGATAGACTTTTGATTTTATTACATGAAATAAAAATTAGTTTTAATGAATAGCATAGAATTTGAATTGCTTAGAATCATTTAGGTATATTGTAGTAATTCGATAAACTTAATATACTTTGTTCTATCTCTATCTCTTTCTCTCTCTTTCTATGACAAAATAGTTAACATAAATCTATGATCCGATGGTCGAAATTCATCAGTGGAAATTCCAATAACTACCCGTGTATACCCCTTCGTTTGTAATATCGCTAATTATCGTTGAATCAGTAAAATCGGAATTAGGTTAATGCAAACGATACTTCAAGCTCGTGCTCTCATCAACCTTATCTCGTAATTCCGCGAATTCTTGATTATATGTAATTAATATCAATAGTCCATAAAGGAAGATGAATGGAACGATCCGCTAATTTCATCAATTATTCTTCTCCCATGATCATCTCCTGTTAATCTGCTAATATTTTTTCGGCTAATTTTCTCGCTCGAACGGTAAACCTTTTAACAGGATGATTAAAATTTTCTAAAGTTCAGTCTGGTAACTTCGATTCGAATACTTTTTTCTATTTTCTTTTTTTTAAATCGTTGAATTTATTAGCCAACGAAAATTACTTCATTCATTTTTATATTAAAAAAAAAAAAAAAAACTATATATTCCTAGATAGAATTACGCTTAGAATTCTCGTTGACGTAACTTTTGTTGAGAACGTTGTCGCGTTGATTTTAATTGTCGAAAAAAAAAAAAGAAAAAAACATAAATAAATAAAAAACGAAAAAGCAACAAAATCTACGACGATATTTTTCACGTTTATTTGAACAAAATCCAAATAAGTATCACACAAACATATCGTAGTAGACGCAGAGGGATCTTCTTTTTCTATGGTATCTCTGGTTGCTTAGTGTAAATGCTTTCAGCTTCTATTCATCGTAGTCATGACTGTGATACGAACTACTCTTCCTCCTTCTATTTCTTTTTATTTTCTAGCCGACCTATTCACAAACACTGCAAGCTTATAGCCCTTAGACAGGAAACTTGTATTTTTTTTTTATCTTTCTACGAGTATCAATGTTAGGTTTATTTAAAGTACCATGCATGTCACTAGGAAATTTAACATTTTATTTTTGATTTCTTATTAGCAATATTGTTTTATATGGAACAACAAATTGGAACGTAAATCTTTAATATTACAAAAATTATATAAATTATCTACTATAGTTTATAAACAAATATTTTTTTAATTTTATAAAATTCAAATTTATTACGATCCAAGCAAAATACGGTGTACGGAATAATATTTTGTAATTTTTTAAGATCTTATTATTTTAAATATTAAAATAGAAATAAGGTAAAAATATGTAGAGTCCAGTTAAAGATTTATGGGTATCTATATTAATTCCATGATGTACTTTATTCTGAACCTAGGTTATGGTTATATCCTTGAAAGGGAATTTTCAATCTTCTAGGGTGCCATCCAAGATACTTGAAATTAACTCGCACGAATATACCAAGCGTTTATATCGGAAACCGATATCCATGAATCATGCTGCGTTTACTTGTATATATAGTAAAGTACTACGATCATGCACTTATATCGCGAACACGTTATTGTTCTAAAAGATGGATAGACATGATGAGAGAAAGAGAAAAAGAAAAAGAAAAAATTATACGGAAACCATTATAAAAATTGATGCAAGTATACAAAGTTTATTTTTCCTTTACTTTTGCCCTTATTAAGAAATAATAATTTATTAATATAAATATTTAATAATAATATCTCTTGTAAAACGAATATTAATTTATATATAAATATATAATGTATATATCTTCTGTATATATAAAAATTCAGTGTCACATTGTTGGTTTCCAATGAACTTCGAAATTACTGAACCCATCTTAATAAAATTCTTTTTATTTTGAGTAATTTTTGTCAACTTAGTAAATAGGATATTTTTTATCCCGATTAATTTTTATTTTTTATTCCTAATTTAAGGATTTATTATTTAGAGATTATCTAGGTCTTTAGGTACTGGAAGTTTATAATAGATGGCGCTATATTACAATTCAATTATTTCAGACTTTCTTTAGATTTACATTGCACCTTATTTTTTATATTTTTTCGAGTACTATGATTTTATGTCTTCAATTCTAATTGTGGTATTATTTTGTGTTATAATTTACTAAATAGTTTATAATTATATTAAATCAACATTTTATAACAAAATCACAGCAACGCGTGACCAGTATCCTAGTATATTTATATATATATTTTATAGATTATTATGAATTTCTTGACATTGAGTTTTTCTTTGCGAGTGTAAAATATTTTTGTTATATTATGCCGTACTTTTTTTTTTATAATTGTTATCCTTTCTTTCTTGTTTTTTTTTTTTTTTTTTTAAGGACAAATTACGAGCATACAGATGCTCGATATTTCAATTCATTACATAGGATTATATCGATTATCGATATTTTCTTGGAAAAATAAGCTGTTATAATAGGAAGGATGTTTACTATGTTGAATTCGCGTTTATTGGATCATCGAATTTTCACGTGATCGATTCGATGTACAGCCGCCAGCGGCACGGCTTTTCATGTTTGCTTTCTCTCTCTCTCTCTCTCTTCCTTTTTTTAAGCTTTCATTCTTTTTTTTTCTATTTCGTTTCTCACTTCTATTTACTTTAACGCAGCTGCAACGAAAATCAAACAACATTGATCATCTATCGTGTTCGTTATGATATAAAATTTTCCTAAGGATTTATACCTACTATATTAATATATTTATATATTGTATGTTATATATGTATACATCTAATTCTGTTATTACATGACCTTTTATTTAAACGATTTTGATTTAACACGATTGACCTAAATTCTAAGAAGAAAATTTCCGAAATTCGTGGATTATTGTTTTATTTTTCTGCTGATTTCTTAGAGCTGGAATCACAATCTTCTATTTTTTAATAGATGGAATATATTTTTTACACGAATTTTAACATATTTTACTTGAATGTATTTATTGTGTAAAAACAGATTTAGGTGCATATATGAATATATGTATTATATGTTTATATATGGATATTATTTATTCACATAAACAGTTTACATTAAATTGAGCATAAATTAAGTGATATTGTCACGCTACGTGAACTTCCCTTATATATTAAATGTAATAGTAATATATATTATGTATAGACATGTATATATATAATATATAGCTTTTCTGTAGATGGCATTAGCGACAAGTAGACGTCGAATACATACATTATAGACAGCTTGCAATACTCTTTAACATTTTGTGAAGATAACTTGGTAGTATCAGTAGTTGACTTGTGTTTACATCATATAGTTATTTCAAATTAGAAATGTCAAATTATAAGCCTACTACTCGTCATTTGCGGGAGGTGTTACTTTATTATTTTAATAGTAAAAAATTCGCTTCTGAGGCACACCGAATTCTCTCACAAGCTTATAGCCATGGTATTATATCCATATCTTCATGTGAAAAGTGGTATAGATACTTTAGGAGTGGTGATTTCAATTTAGAAAGACCTACTTCAAGAAGACCATGTAAAAATTGGGAAAATGAAGAATTAGTGCGCTTGATCCATGAAGACCCGGATATAGCTGCCAATGGAGTTGGCAAAACAATTGGGAGTAACCCAAGCTGCAGTTTCATATTGCTTAAACAGTCTGGAAATAAAAAACAAATTAAAAGAAAAAATGTAGGAGCAAAGTTCTATACCTAATAGTAATATATATCTTATCTCTATAAAATTCCCCTTTCACAGTGTTTGTTATTCTTATTCTCCGAAACGACTTGACCAATTTATATGAAATTTTTTGTGTATATTCGGTAGGTATGAGAATAGTTTTTCTTATATTTCTTATACCCCTGAGTGATAAGGGTGACCTACCATAATTATTTTTCGTTTAAAAGGATATTAAGAAAAAAGAGAAAAAAAAGACAAATGTTATGTGCCTATATTCAGACAATGTAAAATTATATGATGTGAAGTAAGTGGTAATCTTATGTTACCGCTCATGCGCAGTTGGTTCGATATTAAGAAAAAAGAGAAAAAGAAGACAAATGTTATGTGCGTAGATTCAGATCTATCTATATATTTATTAGCCACAGCAACTCGTGGCCGGGGCACCCCTAGTATATATATATATATATTTTTTTTTTCATCTATTTATTTTTTTGAAAAAATTGTAAAATTCAAGAAATGATATTTACCGATTGGAAAAATGATATATATATATATATATATATATATGTAGATTCAGATCTATCTATATATTTATTAGCCACAGCAACTCGTGGCCGGGGCACCCCTAGTATATATATATATATATTTTTTTTTTCATCTATTTATTTTTTTGAAAAAATTGTAAAAATCAAGAAGTGATATATACTGATTGAAAAAATGTTATATTTATATCTATATATATATACATATATGTATATATGTATATAATAAAATAGTTATTTTTTTTTTAAACTTTGGAACATCGCTCAATTTAAAATGGGAGGAATTTAAAGAAAAGTTTTATTATTTTCTTGTTAGTTTGTTTGAAACATATTTTGAAACTTTTATGATCATTGTCAAAGTTTATTTATGATTTTTTTTCTTCAGTATATATCATATAAATAGTTACTAGGCATTACAAATAATATTGATTTACGAATATTCGTTACCGAATTTTATTAGATTAATTATATTAGACGTACTAGTTACAAATGATATAATATACCTAATTTCTTTTTTTTTATCATTCATCTGAAATAATATATTTCTTTTAGAATAAAATATTCTTTTGAAAGTAATAAAATTGATCTCAATTTATTCGTTAAATGAGTAAATAATTTTAAAATAGATTTACTGTGTATATGAATTTGAAAACATTGTGTATCAATTATTGTTTATAAACTTTGTCAGTAATGATATATAGAATAATCCTGTGACTCATTATGTATATAAATATTTGTCTTTTTTTTTTCTTTTGCTATTTTGAATGTAGGTTTCACTGTACAGCGTTAAGGGACTATTTTTGTTTGGTATTAGGGGACAGGATAATATCAACACTACGTGATCTATACCTAATCCGTTTTGAAAATCAACATAAAATTCATATATAACGAACAATAATGGAGCTCTTTATAAATGAACAAATACCATAAAGACTTAAACACAGAAATAAAGCTTTAACATTTACCTGAATATTACGCTATACAGTGTTTTCCTGCAAAAAACTGAAATCGACCGCTCCTGATGTTGCCTTGAGCGTCACTGGTAAACTGGATCGTATGATCCTGTACCACATGTTTCATCCGTTTTTAAATCGTTCAAATAATTATGCTTTGAAATATATAAGTGTCTGGCACGAGGAACAGTCTGGGGTTACGTGAATTCTCCTAATAATAATTTTGTAAATATGACAATTAGGTAGTATGAATGAGATAACAAAAAAAAAATAAGATTAACATTTATATCATTAGATGATTCAATTTATAGATTATTAGATGATTCAATTTATATCACAGATTTCTCCAATATGGAGTCTTCTAGCGATTATGATGTGCTATGATGAGGAGGATAAAGGGTTGAATTAAAATGTGAAATAAAACACGTATTTGAGCCAGTCAAAGGTGCAATGTTTTATTGGCTCATCAGGGAAAAGCCTTGCGGCATAAAAACCCTGGTTGATATGTAGAATATAAGAATGAATGGCGTTCTTTCTAAGATTGAACACATGTCTTACCTCTTGTCCGCTTCGCTTATAATGATCACAACCGTAAAGGTTGGGGTGTTGCCTCGTTGCTCTTTGTGAATCTCTATAGTCCTTTGTTGTTCCTTGTTGCTTTCTATGGTCCTTGAGTTGAAGATGTCTTGTCGTAGGCGTCCAGTGATAAAATAGGACGAGTATCTCTTTGAACAGTCCCAGCAGGGCGCATGTGGTGGGGATGCGATAGGTGGGGGTAGCTAACGTTAGCGCTTTTATACTCGCTAGGAGTATGACGTATAATTCGATAGAATCGGTGGCGCGCATTTTGAATACATCTAGTTGTCTACGATCGTTTCGGATCGTACAATTAGCAAAGAATCTTATACTGTACATGTCATGGTGTATTATTACTTACAGATTGAAATGATGTAATGATTATCATAAGTTCAATCAAATAATTAGCTAAGTATTTATACCAGGTATTTTTATTAAATGTTATTATGTTATTACATAAAATATATTATAATTATATTGTAAATACGAAAAGACATATAAAAAAAGAAATAAACATGAATGAAATAATATAAAAAATAAGATTGATATTGATATCATTAGCAAAGAATCTTATACTGCATTTGTTATCGTGTATTATTATTTACAAACTCAAAATATATTTATAATATAAATATATTTAAAAATTATTTATATATTAAAAAATATATTTATAAACATAAAAATGTGACTGTAACACTTACCTGAATATTACGCTATACAGTGTTTTCCTGCCGAAAACAGAAATCGATCGCTCCTGATGTTGCCTTGAGCGTCACTGGTAAACTGGATCGTATGATCCTGTACCACATGTTTCATCCGTTTTTAAATCGTTCACATTATTATTTTTTGAGATATATGAGTGGCTGATGCTAGGTGCCGTCCGACGTTACGTGAACTCATCCTATATATTAAATATAGTAGTAATATATATGGACAAATATATAGATTTCTGTAAATGGCATTAATGACAAGTAGACGTCAAATACATATATATAAGACAGCTTGGAATACTCTTTAACATTTTGTGAACATAACTTAATAGTATCAGTAGTTGACTTGTGATTACATCATATAGCTGTTTCCAATTAGAAATGTCGAATTAATTATATATATATAATATATATATATTATATGTCGAAAATTGATATTAAACGATTTTTACAACTGTTTCATTTCTAAAGCGGTGTAAGTTTATTTGCAGCCCGTAAATATACATTAGTTTAGTTAAATTCAGCCTAAAACATATTTATATAACAAAATGACATATTGATAAATCAGTAAAAACATTACTGGACTTCATATAATTTACCTAAATTTTTTAATTAACAGATATGTTAACCTTTAATTTTCTCAAAACAAGAGAAAATGGACTTACACCACTTTCAAAATAAACGGTTCATATATAATTTTTAGCATATTGATTTTTTATAAATACTTCGTATATAATTCTTAACACATTAGTATTCTTCGTGTATTACTTTTTTTCGTGTATTATTCGTATATAATTTTTACATGAAGAAAAGTAAATTAACAAGATATTGTTTTTTATTTAATTTCACACAGTTGAAGGGGTTAATTAGGACCATACATTGTGCAATTGTGAAAAGGAATGGGAGGAAAAAGGGTTGCGCAATAAAAAGAAGAAAATTGAAAGCACATTTGTCTGGCTTTTTCTTTTCGTTTTGAGGATTGATGGTCGTCTGCCTAATTATAGTGACATCGCGAAAGGAAAAGATAATAACGACCACTTCTTTATTTTCTTTTTTACTTCCTTTTCTTTTCTCTTCTCTTTTCACGATACGTTGTGTCTTGAGAATTCATTCCCGTAGGAAGTAACATTCCCCTTCGTTGATTCCTTTAAATTCGACACGACCGAACAAAACTTTCATTTGCCCTCGAGAAATCTTCAAAAATCTTCAAATTGTTCTTCAATTGATTTTTTTTATATCTGTGTATGCACACACACATGTATAGATGTGTGTAATGTATTTTCATTTATTCGAGGGTGGGGGGTATACAAAAATAAGTTGACAATTGACCTTGTTTTTTTTCAGAAAAAAAAAGAATACATTTTTGATCTTTTACGATTTCTTACATTATTTCGATCTTTAAAAAATTTTGAATATGTCAAATAAGTATTGTCAGAATTTTTATTATTAAAATATTAATGTTGTTTTATTTGTTAAATTATGCAATGATACAAAATTTTTGTTTAAATTATAAAAAATGCTGTAGTAATTTATTGAAATATTTAAAAATTATTAAAAACTTGGATATTATATAGAAACTAATTGAATAGAAAATTATTAAAATTCAATTGGAGTATGATGATTTAAAGTGTAAAGTTTATTCAATTTCATGAATTGGACGAAATTTTTTTTTATTAGTTTACTATGTTTCTTGTACAGTCCGAAAAGAAAAATACAAAAAAATAGAATAAGAAACAAAACAAAAAGTAATTTAAGTAGTGATACTCTTCTTCTCAAGCTGTACAATATTTGGTCCAGGAAGAAAATTGGATTAAACATTGAAGGAAGACAGAGATAGAGAGATTATGTGTATGTGTATGTGTGTGAGTGTGTAAAAGAGAGAGAGAGAAAGAGAATGTGAATTTTGTGTTGCTATTAGTTTCAATTTGTTCGAAAACGTACACATGCTTTGACTCAGTTCGTTTATTACTTCATGTTAGCTTAACTATCTCTAGTTTAACTTGACCTTCCTATTAAATAGAGTTTTACTGTGATACATTTATAATGTAAAGAAGTTTAATTTATTTTAAATAGCAATTAAACATTTTCATGAATTTAAATATTAAGAAAATAAATATTAAAAATTGAATATGTAATTACAATTAAGTAGTTTTCTATTATAATTATTGTTAGAAAAATATTTTTGTAATCATATGAAATTCGTATGAAAATAAAATTCTGTCGAATATATATACAATATTCTTTTTTCTTTTTTTTTGCAATTAAAAAAAATTTTGTATTCTTTTAATTTGATACGTGACGAATAAGAATCGAAAGATTTACTTGTTAATACGAATGAAATGTTAAGAAGTTAAACTAGCTCGTTTCCTCGGATATTTAATTTCTTCAACGAGTGGTTCTCCTATTAATCTTGTTAATTTAATTTGTAGGAATTTCCAGAAGGTAAAAGCTTTAAGTTGAAATACGTATATAACTGAGCAACCATTTTCATCGTATATAAATTAAAAGAAAGAATTTAAAAATAAAAAAAAAAAGAAAAAGAAAAAAGAAAAAGAAGACCACTTTCTTTCTCTCTCTCTCTTTCTTTCTCTTGATAAAGTTCTATTTTCAAAGATAATTTTTGATTAAGAATTTTCATGAGAAAATATCTCGATTATGTATTTTGAAATACTTAATAGTTTTATCCTCGAATAAAACGCTTTTCGGTATCTCGTAAAATTAATAATCTCGTATTAATTTTGCATGATTTTCAAATTCATTCTCTCTTTCAAAATAATTTGTAATAATAAATATACTTCAACTATTTTTATTTTCTATAGTTTAAGTTTAACAGAAAACATTCTAAATAATAAATCAGAATCTAACAAAAGATATGAAAAATTGTAAATTAAATAATTGAATTACCTTTCAAAACTCAACTAACAAAATTAATATTTTAAAATAATTATTAATAAATTATTTTATGGATAATTGTTTTGACTGTTATCGTTTATTTTATAGTTACGTTATATTTTATTATTAATATATATTTATTTATAATGTTTATTTTTTATTTGTTCAATATCGAATGATATTGCATTTAACGAGTACCATCTGTATATTTTCGAAACTCCTAACAAAAAACGAGCTGTGAGCATGATACCTATCTCACATATATATAAACGTACAACATACACACACACATATATACATATATATGTATCTATATTGTCTCAGGATAAAACAATGGCTTTGCTATCAAGCGGCGTTAGAGAAAGTAATCCAATGTTCGGCTAACAATGCCACGTGGTGGTGTATTTCCAAGCACCGTGCAGATCTTTCGTATTTCCCTTTTTCATCTCTATCTTTCTCTTTGTCATCTTTTTTTTCTTTCTTTCTTCTTTTTCTTTTTTTTTTTTTNTTTTTTTATTTGGCTCCATATTGTAGGACCGACCTCATTTTTAAGCGGTACACCGAGTAACTTGAGCTTTGTATTCCGAAAAAAATAATGCTTTTTTTTGCATTCGTTTCAGCGAGCATGAAAAAAAAAGAAAAGAAAAAAAAAGCGGGTCTCCATTTTCGTTATTATTATTATCTATTTCGATATTATCTTTAAGATAATCATTTCTTTTTGTGTAATTATAAAAGAAACGTATAAAATGAGATAATTTGATCTAATATCGTTTTAATTTAAAACGATATTAGTTAAAAGAAATTTAACTAGAATAGATAACTTTAGAAATATTAATTAAAATAAATTTTTTTTTTTACAACGTTTGACCCTTTACTTCTTTCTTTCTATTTTTCTTTTTCGTTTGATCTTGATCATCATTATTTTTAATACCATGAGAAAAATACTTTCTTTTAAACTTTTGATATAATTGAAAGGAAAAATCATAAAAAAAAAAATATATTACAGAAAGTCTAGAAATATCGAATAAATTGATAATATTTGACTATCTTTTTTCCTTTTTTTTTGATATTCCTCTCTTGTCATTCCATTTCTCTTTTTCTATCTCATGGGAGATGGTGAGAATTTGTATCAACGAAGGACTCTGATTTATGTAGGTCACGAGTTTTTCGGAAAGATCTTTCTTTGTACCTCGTCAGATATGTCGAATGTCTTTTCCCCTTTGTAATATTATGTAATATCACCGAAATCATGATATCCCTGGTAATGATCCTAGAATTCTGAAAGGTACTGGTAAATCAAATTTTTTCTACCAATGGAACAACGAACCTTTTTGTTGCGTATTCTCTGATTTTCTGATTGTATTTTTCTATTTTTCTTTTTTATTTTTGTATGCAATCAAAAATATTTGTTTTCATCGAAACCTATCGTTCTAACAAAAGATATTTTTGTAACTTATCAATCTAATTGTTAATCCAAAATGAATATAAAAAGAAAAAAACATTGTTAACGATTTGAAATTTGTGCCGTGGTGAATTATTAACTAATGTATACCAATACAAATTTGTACTGTGGATAATTCAAAAGTACGAATCAATATAAACGTGTACTGTGGGTTATTTGCAAACGTATACCAATTCAAATTAGTATTGTAGACGATTAACAAACTAACCCTTTACCGTAGTTAAATTTCCATTTTCAATTTAAAGAAGAAAATAAATTTATATCGTTGTTCAATAGGAAACAAAGTAATAACAACAACCACAAACGATGACAACTAATAGTCAACATTATTAAACGTACAATCTTTTTTTATAGGGTATCAAAATATTTCCTAAGCATTTCGCATAATTCGAATGATAAACCAAATGTAACGGCTTTGTGAATCGTGAAATATAATTTTACGGTGATTAATTGAAACAAATGAAAATAAAAAATAACAAAAAAATCAAACTTCGCGATGGATATATAGCAAAAAGGAGAGATAAGGGAGCGATTACTAAAATTTATTTTGAAAAGTGGTAAAACACGATACATATATAAATATATGTATATATAGATGACTATACGAAATTGTTTGCTGAGAATTAATTTCACGTGTAGACCGAGGGATTAATCTGCGAAGGTAAATAGGATTAAATGTTGACCCTGATACGCTGGATACGTTTTCCGCAATGTTCGCAATAATCGAGCATCGTCGCCGAGCCTGATCGTAATCGTCTTCGGTGTGTTCAAGCTAATCCTTATTATGAAAGGATTATGACAGGCTCAGTATAAAACGAATTCTCTGCATTTTCGATTTTCCCCAATGGTATAATCTTTTATGTGCACGTTATCGTGATATTTCCTCCTTTCTACCCCCACCCCTCCCCCAACGTCTATTACCTTCACAAAAAAATTATTTTAATAACACTTACCTTTTTAAATTACGTCCTATTGTAATGAATAATTATACGAATATTTTTATATTAATTTTTATATGTGATAAAAAGAGAAAATGAGAGAGAGAGAGAGAGAGAGAAAGAGAGAGAGAGAGAGAGAGAGAGAGAGAGAGAGAGAAAGAAAATGTGTGCGTGTGTGTGTAATATATTTTTTATATACATGAATAACACCAGTGAACACATTCATTTACACATAGGAGGACACATAGTCATAATTTTTTTCTTCTTGTTGTTTGTGCCTTAAAAATGGTCGTGCATCTCTGTCGGAAGAACAATGGTTATATTTTTTTTTTTTTTCTTTTTCCATGCGAAGTACATATTTTGTTGTTTATTTTATTTTTTAACGAATAAATAAGTGGTTAAAATTACATTATATCGATGATATATTTATGATTCAGGATTTAAGGTATATGAACGAAGACTTTCAATGAGGTAGAAAATTACGATTCGTTTCTGTCGCGTATACCTTCAATTAGTGGATTAATTAAAACGCATTCAAGACGTCGTCCGGTAGCGTGGAATTTAATAAAGTGCCCAGCTAACTGCGAAAAATCGTGCTACGAAGCGCGTGACTGTTCTGGCATAAAGTAATGTATTATACAATAGTTTTGTATTAGACGCGCATGAAAAGAAATGGTAGTATGTCACGTAAATAAAGAACAAAAAAAAAAGGCAAAAAGCAAAAAATAAAAAGGAAAAGACGACAAAATTAAAAATGAGAGAAAAAAAAGAAATGAAATATTAATAATAATAATAATAATAATAATAATAATAATAATAAAAATAATAATAATAATAATAATAATGATGATGATGATGATAAAAATTAAAAAAAAATAAAAATGAAAAAAAATTATTTTACCAGAGCTTTCTATTACGAATTTTAAAGCTTTTAAAAACAATAGGTGTCTCTCTCGTTGTATATACGTCGACGTATCATTTCCCGTTTTCATTGTTTCGTTCGTAGGGAAGACAAAAATTTACGAGAAGTTTAATATAGTCCAAGGCGAATTGTAACGCGTGTCAAAAGTTATACCACTAGTGGTAGTAACTTTAGTATTAAAGTACCAAGTTTCCACCTAATAATGCCACGCTGGAAGTTTTTGATATTGTATTAGTTACATCCAAGGAAGCGATACTTCAGTGAAATTCGAAACGTGTCCTTCGAGTTAACTTTGTAGATAATTTACCAAGTTTGACTTATGTTTTAGAATGCTTTTGTAAATTAATTGGTTATATTAGAAGATTTTCTATATCATTTCAATAGGAATTTGTTTCATTTCTAATATTCGTAATATTTGCATCTTTCTTCAAAACGATTTATCCTCTTTGTTTTTTGTTTCTTTTTGTATATGAATTATATTTTTTTCATAAAAATTTTTTAAATTAAAATTTAAATTGTACAAGATATATTTTTGTTGGTTCTACGTATTGGTAAACGATTGAATTTTGATACAAATAATTATTTTTTTCCTTTTTTTTAATCAACGTACCCTTTGATATGTCATTTGATTTAACTTTATCGAAAATTTTGTAAAATTTGAATTCCAATAAATTGATTTGTGCAAGAGCTTTCAAATCGAATAAAATATTTCTATTGGCTTACCATTTGTCCGAGTTTTAATTTAGTTACTAACAAAAGTTATTAATTATATTGAACGAAATAAATGATTACTTTATATTTATCATTATCGTCGTTAAGTCTATGTTTCGATGATACCTTTGATGTGTTCGTCGAGTGAATTAAAAACTTCACAGTGAATTTGCAAAGTTTGTTAAATTACTATGTAGAATAGTTGCTTTGTTAAAGTTGTAGGAGCTTTCGAATCGTATTAGATTTCTCTATAAGAATTTTTATTTTAACTTTAGATTTCAATTTTCTTTTTAAATTTTATCGATTATTAAATTGCCGAATGTGATTCAAATTTAAATTATTATATTTAATCGATGAGAATAAATGATATTATTACGATGATGATGATTGTTACTATTATTATTAATGTTTGGTAAAACTTACAACGATCCTATGTATATACCTAGATTTATTTAAATTGACAGTCACGTAGTTGATAAGGAATTTTTCCGAAAGACTAACTCGAAAGCTCCTACAGAAAATAAAAGGAGAATATAAATGGACCAAACGTTGTTCCTCGTATTCGACGTTGAATTTCTTCTCTCGCTACCACCGTACATGGCTGCTGGATTTTCTTCTTCTGTAAACAACGAAATAAACAAACAAATATTAATTTCAAATATTCGTTTAAAAATTTACGACTATTTGTATTAGTTTAAATCCTTAAGAAAAATCTTTTTGTTTTTTGTTTCGGATATTCATACAAAATAAATTTATCTCCCTTTTGAGACATTTTGAATTCAAGATATTAATTTAAAATAATTGTGAATAAAAACAATGTTAATTTTGTATTATATTTATGTTACAAATAACGTAATATAAAATATAAATAATTTTATTTATATCATATTGTATGTTATTTCAATAAATTTAGAATATTTTATTTTCGTTATTATTGAACAACCTAGCACGAAGAGCTCAATGTTCCATTAACTTTTTCACAATCACGTTCGATCTACTATCAAAAGTGGATTAAACTCGTCGACTGTGTTTTCTTCTTCTTACTGAAAGACAGATATAAATTGATATCTTGAGCCACGAGTCGCGGTCGATTCCACTTCTCGTTTGTATGCACTATGCCGAGTTCTTCCATTATCTTTCCATTTCGATGGACTCCTGTTTTCAATTTCTTTTATTCTCACAGGTATAAACGTATATAATCTATACGATAAAGAATAATGGATCGATATTTTTTACGTGATATTTTTTAAACAATAACTTTTCATAAAATTATGTCCGAATTACGTTAATAAAAATATTGTTTGTTGTTGTTTTTTTTTATTTCTTATTATATTTATTATAAATTTTATTTACCAATTAAAAAATGTTCAATAATCTGGCATTTTTTAGATAAAATTATTTTTATCATAAAAAAAATATTATTTACTAATTGTATTGGACTGACCTTCGATAACGTGTATCCTGATGTAACTTGGCTTTGCATTGCTCGGCGAACAAGTATAATTAGCACCATGGGATAATCTAACTTTGTCTACTAGAAGAATTGAACCATTTTTCGTAGCCTCGACTTTAACTCCAGGCTCGTTATCATAATTGATCATACGATCATCACGATACCAGAATATGTAACTAGGTGTTTCAGCAGATGCCATCAATCGACATTCCAAACGTAAGTTCGAGCCCTGTTTTATATGTAGATCTGGACTTCCAGGTATGACGGAGTAAGCTTCGGTAATGTTTAAACGAATCAATCGTTGTTTCATTGGTTCCGTTTGTATCTTTAATTTAATACAAAATAATATGATTATTTTTATAATTTATTCGTAACAGGTTTACTCAAAATTTATTCAGAAAAAAGAAATTTTAAAATTATTTCACATATTTTTACAAACATTTGTTTAAAAGTTACTTACAAAAATACTTTCAAAAAGTATTAATAACTTTTTGAAATTACTCAAAGATTGTGATTAATCAAAACTTATGAACGAGGCTTCTAATTTCTAGATATACAAAAATTAGTATTAATTACTATTTGAAATCATTCAAAAATTATGGTTACTCAAAACTTACGAGCGATGCTTTTAATTTTTAGATATACAAAAACTAGTATTAATTACTTTTTGAAATTATTTAAAGATCATGGATTAATTTTGTATTTTCTAGCGAGGGATTAATCTTAATCATAAAATTTTTAATGTGTTAACATTTCTGTCGAAGCTCGGATAGAATGAGATTTAGAATAGGTTATCCTATTATCGTAGTTTCCGAGTAAGTATAGTATGTAGTTATTGTCCGGTCGTAGTTCGTCACTATTCTATTCTCTCACACCGTATTAGTATTATACTATCACTACTGCTGTCCGATCGTGACTGGTCATAGCTACTGTTTGTCCAAGATAAACCTTTACTACTGTCGACCGTACAATTCATCACCATTGCCATTGGCATGCTATCTTATGCGATTAATATAAACGTATTGTGTTCGTGGATCAGACTATAGGAATATATTCTGTTGGTACGAAGTCGTCTCTTTAGGACTGGATTTACTACTCATGAATAAATGACATTATAGACGAGTTAGGTCAACCGTAGAAATATTTCAAACTATATTATTTACTAGAAGATAACTTCCTCAAACAGTTCCTAAAATATCATTTGTATATTTCCCTATACCAATTATATTTGATCGATTATCTTGTATTATTCTTTTTTAGAATACTAGACAAAGAATTTCATTTTATAAGCTCAATCAATTTTCATATTTGTCAATTTTGAAAAAAGTAACAATTATAAACGTTCCTTACGGTAGGTAACCCTTTATATTCGTATTATGGACGAATGTTCCTTGATATAAGCAATATATTTGTACATACACAGGTGTTTGTACAATTATGTGCAAAGAAACACGTTTTCGTACAAATGGTTGCCTATATTAAGGCACTCTCCTTCTCGAAACTGATTTATATTATGTACCCGTTATCATTATACATTCGCATTCTAAGTACAAAGATATAAATAACTAAGAAATTATCTCACGTGGCACTCGTAGATACCACCGTCCTCGTGTTTAACATTCTTAATCCATAAATTCCAATTAGGTTTATCGGGTAAGACGATAAATCTCGTGTCTATGGAATACGTGATTCTCCCTAATGTTAAAAGTTGTTTATCCTTCCTTCTTATCCATGTTACCTAAAATTCAGAAAAATTATGTTACATATATGCATTGAATTTAGTTTTTAACTGGCTTCTTTACTTTTTTTTTTTCATATTTTGGTATTCATTAATTCGAACTCTTTACAAGCGAACCCGGTAAATCACTAGGCCAATTTATTCGACAAATTGCGAATAACTATCGGATCTCGTAATTGTTCAACGTACAAATGTATCGTGAGTGTTAACCTGAGAGAGAAAGGATAAAGTAACCACAAAGTCGCTTTTCATTCGCTTTACTCGTTATAAATCGAATCACTAACTCGGTCCAGTAAATTCTATTTATCAACGTTCGATAAAGTCGAGTTCGTAGGAGAAACAAAGCCCAAGACGAGCTTGAAAATTCAATGGTTTAATCTACCTAGAGTACGCGATAATTTAGATTACCATAATTGCTATACTATAGCCGATATTGCTTTTTCTTTTACAAAATGAACTTTTACTTTATGTGTTTCTTTTTTTTCTCTGTTTTCTTTTCTTTTCTTTTTTTCTTTTCTCATAAGAGAAAAAAGTATGAATTACAAAAAAAAAAAAAAAAGAGAAGGAAGAAAAAAGTAATAAGAATTTTTCCCTTTCTTTTTTCTTTCTTCCTTTCTTTTTTTTTCCCATTCTTTTTTATCTACTTTCCTTCTAAATCGATGAAATCTTTATTTTTTCGCATATTATTATAAACATCGTATAAAACGGTACGCTTATTTCGTTCCGTATTATTTAAATCAGTACATAATAAACCATTTTTCATTAAAAACGATGAATATAAAAGAGAAAATAAGTTTCTGACCTTAAAAAAAAGGAAAATATAATTGAACTTTCTTCTTTTACTTCGTTAGCTTTACAAGGAACGTTTGACCGAAGAGATTGAAAATTAAACTCAGCTTATAGTAACTTTGATAAAAAAAAGCTTTGAATTGTTTTTTCATTTTTTTTTAATTTTTTTTTTAGTCACATCCAGTTATTTACAATGATCAATTATCCCTATTTAAGTTATATGTCTCTGCAAACGTTAATTAAAACTGTCTGACCATATAAGAGTATCCTTTCTTAATACTTCTTAAAAATGTCTCTTGCTATATAAATTTGCCCCTATTTTAATTACTTAAATCAATTATTATATTTTTATAATATCATCAATCTTCTCATTAAACCATACATTTGAACCAAGTGTAAACTTTTTCATTGTTACAGTATAAAAATAAATAAAATAAAACTTTCTTTGTATTTTCAACTTTTTGAATCGAAAGAGAAGGAAAAAAATAAAAATTAAAACAAAAAAAACTATCCATTTCAGTTCAGTGGATCTTGTTTGATTTTTTTTTATTTTTCTGTTGAAATCTCGTTGCTAGTCCGATATAATCGACTAACGTAAGCCAGAATACGAGAGAGAGAAAGAGGGAGAGAAAGAGAGAAGGAGAGAGAGAGATAGAAACATTCGATTTCTCGTTAGAGAACATTCGTAACGACACTATGTACGAACACTATGACTAGTTCAGAAATTTATTGCATCTGAAATGGACGGCTATTTGCAAACGCCTCCTGTTACCATAGTCGTCCCTTTAATTATTGCAACATCGTCTATGCACCTGCCCATATACATAAAACCAATGTGTATGAGTTACAGTATAAACCGTTTATAAACCGTCAGTTAACTCGACGTTATTGTTTATCCTTCAAATTATTTAGGTCAGTATGGATAGCTCATATGGTTGGTATACTTGTAAAAGGATCTGAAAAAATAAAAAAATAAAAAAAAGAAAATAAAAATACCTGGGCATAAATCGTTTATAAAATCTCTACATATGTGTATGTGTGTATTGTAGAAATAAACTGCATGCTGTTGATTATTCCTCAAATTGTTGTGGCCGGTATGAAAAATTTGTACTAATGTGACTCTTGCTGAAATGAGTTATGAAAAAATAATAAGAAAAAAAAATTGAAAAAAAGAAAGAAAAAGGTACAAAACAAACATTGCACTTTCATTAAATTCGTTGGTAATTTGTGTATAATTATTATATATATACTAACAATGTATAAATCTGTAAATACTAACTAAACAGATTAACAAAAACACAGAGATTTGGTGAAATGATGTTTGTGTTTAATCGGTAGTAAGTTGTCTTGTTGTCCTGTGTGCAACGTAACGTGATTATTTCAGCTGAAATCTCTCTCTCTCTCTCTCTCTCTCTCTTTGTTTGGATAATAATGTACTCGGAGAGATATCAAGGTAGAGAAAGAGAAAAACAGAGAGAGAGAGAGAGAGAGAAGGCTAATATTCATGACTATTTTAAACCCTTTAAAGGTACAATTACGGTGTAAAATAGAAGGTTTCTTTGATAAAAACAAATCTAGATAAATACTCGACTAATTCAACATTTTATTGAACATCAATGTGTTGTTAACTTGTAATTCATAAATCCCTATTGAGATATACGACCTGTTATTTTCACACTTACACAATCGTTAATTTCATTCGATTAATTAATTTGATCAGACAAATCGACGAGACAAAATATTATTCACCCGTTTTCTTTTTTTCATAACGCAGGTATTTCCATTTTCCGTAGAAATAGAAAAATAAAGTGACAAAAAAGCAAAAAAAGAAAATAAAGGAGACATGTCAGATTTTAAGTATTGAATGCAATAAAAAAGAAAGTAGAAAAAGAAGAAATAGAAAAAAAATAAAGAAAAAATAGAGGTAAAGATGAAAAAGTATTGGATGAAGAATAAGAAGAAGAAGAAGGATAAAGATGATGGTGAAAGGGGTGATTGTGGTGGTAGTGGTGTTGGTTCGAGAAGAAGCAGGTTGAGGTGAAAATGGTGAGCGGGGTGAAGTGGGTGGAGAGAGTCTGAAGGGGTTGGTTGTGGGAGTAAAAGCGAGGACGACACGCACCATGAATAAAAGATGACGATGCTTCGTATGATTCTCTGCGTGTCCATGGTGTCACTGGCATATTGATTGCCTTCTTTGGTGCTTTTCGACGTTGCAGCTTGCAAGCAAGCTAAGCGACAAGTATACGTCTGCTTAGAATGTGAACCTATTATCTACAGCTTTTCACGTATGCGAGTTTCTATTGCTGGGTATCATGCTGGCTTACTTCGTTGTTGGTTAGCTTAAATGTGTATATATACATATGTATACGCGTATGTGTGTGAGTTTTCACAGCTATACTAAACATCGTCGCTCAATACTTGAGTTTACGATAGACCATTTTTTATGATCCTTTCGTTTACCTTACTTATGTATATGTGTATGGATATTTTGACGTTGCTTTTTCTGCGAAAATAAAATGATAGAGAAAGAGAGAGAGAGAGAAAGAGAGATATTTGAAGAAAAAAATGTAAAAATATAGGATAGGTAAAGTATGGAAAATAAATAGGCATTGTTATGGGGATAAATAAAAGGTAAAAATAAATATTTGTATGTGGGAAAATTTTTATTAGAGCTCTACTTCAATTTATTTTCCTTTCTTCTTATCCTTTTTGTTTTCGTTTTTTTTTGGGGGGTCAAAATTTTACCGAGACGATTACGGTAATGTTGGTTAAATGTCTGTAATATTTGTGAAAAATGATTTGGAAGTTAAATTCTAGCGATAGATAGAGATCCCTCAAAATTATATCGAGATTAATTAAAGAAGTATCGGTTCTCTGTTGATGGTGTATTGATTCTTCGAGTATGACGTTAATTACGGAAAATCCGATTGGTAGTGACTTGCTGAACGTGTCATTCTCATCCGGTAAATGATAAAACTGTCAATCATTCAACGAAACAAATCGGGTTCGGTATTGTCGCAACCGAGTTAATCAATTTTCAAATTCCCACCATGTCAATTCGAATTAAACCGTGATCCCTTTTGCTCACTTTAATTCGTATATGAAAAAACCAAAACAAGAAAAAAAAAAGAAAAATCTCAGAGAAATGGGGGAATATAATAAAACAAAAAGCTCGATTTGACAAGCACACGTTGAAAAATTTTTCACAAATGTTTGTATCGATTAACACGCACACACGTATGTGTGTATTAACGAATGAAATAAAATATTCGTCAATTTGTAAAGAAATATATTTTGTTATTTATCCAATTTGATCAACAAATTTTTATTTCATTTCCTCCCTTCATTCGTTTGTTAGATTAAATTTTTTTTAAATTAATTGTGAAGCCGAATTTCAATGGTTTGTACGGTAAATATATTTTTTCTTTTTTCTTCTTGTCCTTTTTCTCAGTTATCTTGGTTATATTTTTTTCTCCCGATTATAGGATATCAAATAAAGTACGATTTCTCCTGGTAATATTGATATAACTCGATATTTCAACTAGTACAATGACAAAATTCTATTTCAATACTCATTTATTCATTTGCATATTCTAATTAAGTTCAACGTGCATATATATATATAAAATATTATACTCGATCATTACAACTCTTTACTCTATCTTTTTATGTGTTTCTATTTTGAAATTTCTATTTTTTGCGATACTTAAAAAAAAAAAGAAAAGTCACCTTAAATTTATAGTCCTACCTATTTTTTTCCCCTAGTTAAGATACTTTTTTTTTTAATAGCTTTTTGAACGATTAATTCTATCCTTACTTGCAGTTAACTTCCTTTCTATTTTTTTTTTTATTTCTTTTAACGTCACGTGACAATCGATATGGTAAACTTTATCGACTTTGGATATTTCCCTTTTATAACCATTTTACGAGAACTGAAACGTAAAGTTCGATGCGACTTATCGAACCGAAGCAGAAAAATGTCGTCTTATATCGTTTAATAATTTACGATGAACATAAATATTTGTTCATTTTATTATTCCTTCTTCTTAAGTTACGCACACTTGACAATTACGATGTTATGTCGACAAAATATTAGAAAAATTTATCGAAATTTTGCACCTATCATATTCTATGTTCTGTCGTGACCAGAAATAGGAACGTATTTTTATCATACAAGATACTAAACGTAAAATTATTTTAAACCGCTATAA